ATCTATCTATCTATCTATCTATCTATCTATCTATCTATCTATCTATCATCTATCTACCTACCTACACACACACACACACAAGCTATAACATTTAATATTTTCACATAAATCTTCCACATTTAAAAAGCTTGAAACTATAGTAATATTATTAGAAATAATTGGAATACTGAACATTCTTACTGGTTTTGTTAGCAAGGTTTTCTTGGCTTTTACCCCTTTCTCAAGATACTTACTGCAAACATCTTTTTTCATCTTTTCTTGTTCTGTTTTTGTTCCTGAGCTAGCCAGAATGGTGAGATGGCATAGCAATCCAGGTGGGACAATGGTGAGCAAAAAGATGGGGTTGCCACATTGCGTAGTCCCTTAACAGTCACTCAAAGGAGCAAGCCGTGATCCCTGATTAATTACTTCTACTTGGAATAGAGCTAGCTTTGCATTGATTAAGGATTACTTGTAAAACAGGAGGAGACGGCCAAAAATTATAAGCAAAACAAACGCTTTGATTGAAATGTGGGTGATGGTTTTCATTGAACTTGTCTTTGGGCAAAACATATATGCTTTTTCTCGCTGCCTATTTCTTTAATTAGACTAGTAACAAGGTGATTAGACATTATAGGGTTTGGGAAAGGGGGAAAAAGAAAGAAAGAAATCATATCCACTTTGACTGAAAAGAAAGACTTCAGAATCCACATTATTCACAGTTGATTAGACTAAGAAAAGCATTTCTCAGACATTTCTCAGTGCGACATATTGTGAACTCTATTTTACTGCCAGACTCCAAATGGCAATTAACAGTCTTAAGCTGCATATAAAACCCAATATGAACCACATTTACAAGAGCATTGTGTGTGAATCAAATTATGCTATCTTGAGTTTGAAGAACTTAGAAATAATTGCCAATAAGTATTCATGTATTGGACCAATTTTTGAAACAAGTTCTTGTAATTACTACCAGTGTCGGGAGTACGTGTGGCTGATTTTATGAGATCTGATGCATTTAAAGAAGTTGGCTGAATAGTTGCCGGTTTACATTGGCAGGAGAACATTCTTCGCGTCACAGCTTTGTATCCCAGTTTTTGCATGTAAGACCCCAGTACAGGGGTGCAATATTTCAGTATCATAAATGGTGTATGAAATGAGAAAAGGAAAAAAAAAATAAAGTGGTTACGATCCAATGAAATGTTAAGCCAAGGAATGCACTTGCACAGGTGTTTGAGATTGCTTTTCTATTTTGTTCCTGTTGTATATTTAAAGCAATTACTGAGATTCTTTGCTTTTGAAATTTTTATTTAAGCAGTACAAAATTATTTTAATGTAAAGGCTTTTGTTAAAGGGGGTGGACAACTTTTTTCTTTTGGTAAGTAAGAATTGACATTTTCAGATACTCCCCACACATACAAACAAATTTTCAATCTTTTTTCCCTTTTTCCTTTTCTTTTTACTCATTCTCTTTTTCTTTTTTCTCATATTCTTTCCTCCCCATCATATTAGAGCCCTCTAGGGACAAATATTTGAAAACAAACAAGGAAAGGGTATCAATTATAAGGATAGGAAATGAAAGAGTCTTGTGTTTTCTTAAAGGCTGATACAATTACTAGGGAATAAGCCTGTCTATATCTATGTCTATGTCTATCTCTATGTCTCTTTCTATATCTGTCTGTCTGTCTGTCTGTCTGTTTATCTATCTATCTATCTATCTATCTATCTATCTATCTATCTATCTATCTATCTATCTATCTCTGTATCTCCTTTGTATCTATCTCTATCTCTTGTCTATAGCTATATCTACTATGCATATTCAATAGAACATAAAATAATATTCTATAGTATATTGTAAAGAAGATAGAAAAATGTTCTATACAATATTATTATTAATGTTTTTGCTGCAATTGGTTAGTATGGATACCCTTCTAGAAACTGGAACAAGGAGAAAACAGTGCTTCTTAGGCTTCTATTTGTTAAAACTAAAGTCACACAAAAAGCTAATTTAGAGGGATTGTCAAACATGAATTGGGCTATGCCAGGTAGAAATGTTGAAGGTTTGGGAACCTAAAATACGGCCTCCACCAATAGGAAGGCCCAGTATGTTTTTGGGCATAAAATCAAATTAAGCCCCTCCCCCCAAATTTAGGCCTATTTTAAAATATGCAAAATAAGGGGGAAGGGCGGGGAGACTTGCCGTTAGGAGCGCCCGGCGGTCCTTTCCACCTGGCACCCTTGCTGCTTTCTGGCTCTTTAGCAACCGGCTTCGTGTTTGGAGCTCCAAACGGCGGCGGAAGCTCCAAATGCGGAAGCTCCAAACATGACGGTGGGCGATCTTTTTATTTTGGTCCGCGCGAAGTTCAGAGCAAGCATGAGAGGGAGACCGCGATGCCTTGCTAAAGAGCCAGAAAGCAGCAAGGGCGCCAGGTGGAAAGGACAGGGTCGCGATCACACGGAGATGTCCAAAGCACAGAGCGCACATAACTAAAGGCGGCGCACGCAGTTGGCTTGGGGACTACAAGGCAGCATCTGCGCCTCTTCCCGGGCGCGTCTCTAGGCTGCTTCCGGAACTACGGGACGCTCTCCGTTGCCTACCAGCCCTTCTTCCTTGGGCTCCCTGCCGTGGGGTACACCCACTTCCTCCTGCAAATTACGCCTCGCAACTCTTCTCTCCCTTTCCTCTCGCTCCAAAAAGATCGCCATCGTATCCCGCCGATTCGGGCTTCCAGCCACGTTGTGATCCACTCGTGAGGTTGCCATCTCGAATGGAGGCATCGCAGTCTCCCTCTCTTGCTCGCTCTGAACTTCGCACGGACCAAAATAAAAAGATCGCCCGCCGTCATGTTTGGAGCTGCCACTTCCGCGTTTGGAGCTCCAAATGGCGACGGCACTCCAAACACGGAAGCGGCAGCTCCAAATGTGGCGGCGTAATGGGCAGAAGGGAAAGCAACAGTGGCGGGTGTCAAAGGTGTCTGCAGCAAAGGTGGGAGTAGGGAGCTCTCTGTGCTTGGCCATGATCGCCCGTTAGGAGTGGCTGGTGGCGAGGAAATCCGGCCCGCTGGGCGCTCCTAACGGCAAGTCTCCCCGTCCTTCCCCCTTATTTTGCATATTTTAAAATAGGCCTAAATTTGGGGGGAGGGGCTTAATTTGATTTTATGCCCAAAAAACATGCTGGGCCTTCCTATTGGTGGAGGCCGTATTGTTGGAGAAACACGGTATATGTATCCATGTATTCATAACTATGTTTTTACTTATACCTTTTATCTTGTAAGCAATTGACAAACCAAATTAAAAAAAAAGAAATGAAAGGAAGGGAAGGAAGGGAAGGGAAAGAGGAAGAAAGGAAGGAAGGAAGGAGAGGGAGGGAGGAAGGAAAGAAGCAATGAAAGGCGGGGAAGAAGAAGAGAGGGAGGGAAGAAGGAAGGAAGACAGTATCTTGGGAAGGAAGGGGGATAGGAAGAAAGGAAGAAGAGGGTGGGAAGTACGGAGGGAGGGAAGGATTGAGGTTGGGGGAGAGGGGAGATCAGGTCCTTGGACTTACTGGTAAAATGGAGACCTTGGGAAAGTTATGCATGGTCTCCCATTCCCTCCTTAAATATTCCAAGGAGCCCACAAAGACGATATGTTTGAGCTCGTGGTAGTGGAAATTGCTTGCTCGGAGTGGCATCACAAAATTTCTCAGTCCTATCAGCGCTGACGTCATATCTCCAAATATGCAAACCACCACATGGCCGCTGAGGACGGTCATAGCAGCTTCACTTCGGGTCTGGAGAAACAAAACAACAGAACAAAATGGGGAAAGGAGTTAGGAGTAATGAAGAGTTTTCAATGCCAGCAAGATTCATCCCAGGAATTAAGCAGTGCTGGGCCTACAAAAGCATGAAAACACAAGGAAATTGTATCTACCTTTTCACCTCCATAATATCTAACAGAGCATGAAATGCTCCAAGCTTGCTTAGAAAAAAAGATAAGAGTTTGGAAGGCAAAGAATATGGTAGCTATATATACATACAGGTAGTCCTTGGCTTGCAACAGTTCATTTAGTGACCAAAGTTACAATGGCACCGAAAAAAGTGACTTAGAATTGTATTTTCCACACTTATGACCGTTGCAGCATTTCCCACAGTCCCGTGGTCAAAATTTAGATGCTTGGCCACCGGTTCGTATTTATGACCATTGCGGTGTCTCAAAGTCACGTGATTCCCTTTTGCGACCTTCTGACAAGCCAACGGGAGAAGCCAGATTTCACTTCACCACCTGGCGACTCACTTATCAACTGCAGTGATCCCCTTAACAGCCGAGGCGAGAAAAGTTCTTAAAGTGAGGCAAAATTCACCTCACAAGTTTCTCAACATAGCCACATAAATGTTTGGCTCCATTGTGGTCGTAAGTCAAGCATTGCCCGTAGAATCCCATACGGTTAGTATGGAACCAGACCTGTCAACTTCAAAGCTTGTGGGCTTCAACTCCCAGAATTCCCCAGCCAGCCATGTTGAAGTCCACAAGTTTTAATGTTGCCAGGTTCGGACTACCCTGGTACAGAAGAGATGAGCTAGGTCTTCAAACTGTGTAGACTCTATCACAGGGATCCCCAACCTTTTTTACACTGCGGCCCGGTATCCCCAACCTTTTTTATGGCGCGGCCCGGTACCGACATCAGCTGGGCGCTGCCATCTTGTTTTGATGAGATTTCTACCCGGAAAAGCTCACCGGAAGCACTTTTTCATCAAAACAAGATGGCGGCACCCAGCAAGCCAGCGGCCCGGTAGGACTTGTTCCATGGACCGGTACCGGTCCGCGGACCGGTGGTTGGGGACCCCTGCTCTATCACATCCACATATTCTAACAGGCTACCTGGGAATGGGGTAAGAAGGGATGACGTTGGGGTGCCGGAACATAAATAATGGGTGGCTCTTTGTTCACACCATTATAACAACCATGGTGATTTTTTTCTTTTAACCATCTTCTGTGAACACTTCTGAATGACACTCTCAGCTGAACTTGTGTTGTGGTTAGCCAGCAGCAGGTGTGGATGGCTGAGGAGAGCGAGGACTCAGATGAGGGGCCAGGACCATTAGGGAGTGGGCTGCTGCCTTCAGAGATTGTGGGGGCTGTCAGCAGCGATGAGGAGGTTCCTGAGGAGCCTGTGCCAAGTGTGTGTGCATGCAGGATTGCTCGCAGGAAAGAGCAGCTACAACAGCATGGCCGACTTCGGAGTAAGACTGCAAGGTAATGGCCCCTCCTTCAAAAAGATAAAAGACAGCTGTGAAGCAAACATTCTTTGCAGGAAGCAAAGACGTTTTGAAACTCAGCCTCGTGGACATTGCAGGATCTTAAGTTGGTCTTTGAAGACTCTTGTGTTGTAAAATGTTTCTTATCTGTTATATCCTGGTCATTGCACGATCTTAAGTTGGTATTTGAAGACTCTTGTGTTGTAAAATGTTTCTTATCTGTGATTCTTGGCAGTCTCATGCAGTTTTGGCAAGGTTTGTGTTTATCAAAGTTAATTAGTTTGCAGCAGCCTTTTAACCAGGAATTCATAAGAATCATTAAAAGGTTTCTGTTCTCTTTGGTTCGTGTTTGTCTTATTGGAAAAGGGTTTTGGTTAGAACAACTTGGTGATTAGGGGCATGTTCTGACCCAGCTCCCCAAACACGACAAATCCTCTGAAGTTAACTCAATGATTCCTTTATTAGGAGTGCCAGCAGCCCCCGCAAACAGTTCCTCTTTCACCAAAGATAACAAGTCTGTCAGGCTGGGAGATGAATAGTTGTCTGCCATACTTATTCATCCTCTTTTATTCCCAGAGCTAGGGTGGGGCCTCGCTAGCAGCGGCGGCTCTTCTGTCCCAAGTACCGGCCCATTGATTCCCACTGCTCTCCTCTCCTCTGCCTTCTCTCTCTCTCTCTTTCTGACAGCTCCATTCCCTCTTCCCTCTCAGAGCTCTCAGATTTCTTTGATGCTGACCCTGACTCCCAGGCCTCCTCCTCCTCCTGATTCAGCTGCTCGAGGGACCGGCGGCTGACAGGCCACAAGAAGATATTTGGATTAGGGGAGGTATCATTTATGAGAAAGATCCACTGATAAAAAAGGAAATATTTAAGTCATCTTGTCAGGTTAGTCTTATAACTTTGGTGGAATTATTTTCAGGTCAAATGTGTGTTGGAACCCCTTCAAGGGCGATGAAGTTATGAATGCCAATGTTATGATTACACAGTTGGACCAACAACTTCTTGCAAATCTGAATCTCCTTGCATCTGCTAAATCCAAATTTCCTTTGGAATTACTATTGAATGGAACATACCATGAAGATTATTATTATTATTATTATTATTATTATTATTATTATTATTATTATTATTATTATTATTATTATTATTATTATTATTATTTAGCACTTGGGTCAGAAGCACCGAAATGCTTCCGGGGTGGAAAGGATTAGCCAGTGACATCACCGTTGCCCTGGGGATGCCCAATTGAGGGTTCCTTTCATGTCCCTGGCAGGAACTGGAGTGAAGGACGAGAACCCTGTAGTCTCAAATGTGGGCTTGCTAATCTGGGTCTCAAATGTGGTCTTGCTAATCTCCTGCTCAGCGTTCTAACTGCTCGAGCCACCATGCTACTGCCAGGAGATTAAATGAATACAATTAAAGCTGAAAGCCACTGCTTAACTTTTCAAGAGAGGTGAAGCTGATAGGATTCAACAGCTATCATTTGCGATTTGCAGGCCTGGTGTTGTAAAATCGCCTTACGGAGGTAGGTTGCTCATAGAAATGTTTAAAAATGTGACTATTCCAAGTGCAGCTTCCATATGTTGTTGTGAAGTCCTTCCTCCCTCCCACCCTCCCTTCCTCCTTATCTATCTATCTATCTATCTATCTATCTATCTATCTATCTATCTATCTATCTATCTATCTATCTAACTTTCTATCTATCTACCTCTCTCTCTCTCTCTCTCTCTCTACCCACGCACACACACACATATATATACACACACACACATACACACACACACACACACATACAAATACACACATACAGACAAACACACACACACACATTCTGTACATATATTTTACCCACACAGTGGCAAAACTAGTAAGCAGATCTTCAATCATAACCAGACAAGGAGAGTCCTTCTAATGTCTTTTTTTTTTTTCCCAAGCATGCAAACTTCGTGAAGTGGAACATTAAGGTCATTAAGCGTCATCTCTGTTTAAAATATACTTAAAAATATTCTAGCTGACATCTGTCGCCCTCAGTTATTTAACCACGTATGGAGAACTTGTCCCTGGTGGTCTAATGAACGCGGTGGCATGCATATCAATTTGAACCTTTCTGAATCCAACTCTTTAACAGGTTACTCAGTGGAAGCGGCTGGTTTATCGATCGCTCAAATGCCAATACTGCCATTCCAGACAATGTCATGGTTATTATACAAACTCCCCCGAGGACAGGAGGAACAAGGTTCTGCCATATGATCGTTAGACTAAACCAGAGCTGTCACTATTATTGGTTGTGTTACTCAGCGGTGCAAGAGAAATCTAAAAAAAAAATCAAAATCAAAATCTACCCCCCCCCACTAAATAAAGGGAAAATCCAGTGGGGATTTCGCTTGTCACACAGCCGCGGTGTTAGCTGCGATGTATAAGAGTTGCTGGTGCGACGCGCAAGCAGATGGAGATCACTGGCACAAACGTTCACCAAACCTAACAGAGTCAGAAGTAACGAGGTAATTAGATTAGATTAGTTGCGTCGGTTTGATGGCTGCCCACAACCCAAAGAGGAAATCCAGGGGAACCTTTGAAACCCTAAGCAGAATCTTGAAGACTTCCTAGCTGATGGGAGGTGATCTCGGAGAAACATCGCTCTGGATGGCACCTCTGGATAAATGGGAAATAAAAATAGCTCTCAATCACTGGATAATGAAAGCAAGAGAAAGAGAGAGACAGGGGGAGAGAGGGAGAGGGAGAGAGAGGGTGGAGGGAGGGAGGGAGAGAGAGACAGGAGGGAGGGGGAGAGAGGGGGGGAGGGAGGGAGGGAGAGGGGGAAAGGGAGGGAGAGAGAGCAGGAGGGAGGGGGAGAGAGAGAGAGACAGGAGGAGGGAGGGAGAGAGAGAGAGAGGGAGAAGGGAGGGAGGGAGGAAGTCATGCACAGCTCAGAACTAAAAAAGATAATGAAAGGGAAGTAAATAACAGAATAACAAACAGAATAATAAAGAATCAGAAGTACAGAATAACGAAGCTGGAAGGGACCTTGGAGGCCATCTAGTCCAACCCCCTGCTCAAGCAGGAAACCCAATACCATTTCAGACAAGTGGCTGTCCAATCTCTTCTTGAAAACAGAAAGAAAGAAAGAAAGAAAGAAAGAAAGAAAGAAAGAAAGAAAGA